CAATCATTTAAATGGAGCCAAACCATATCTATATATATATATATATTATTCATTTTCAAAATTTTGGCTGCATAACTGTTAATAAAAATATGAAAAATATGTCAGCATGAATCTCAAGGCAGACATAAGACTTGGGAGGATGATGAGACCAATCAGATGTACATGATCGCTGATTAACAGATTGAATGCGAGTACGAGAGGCGTTTGAATCGAGCGACCAGAAGAACGTGCTAAAGGATTTCCCACATGACAACTATCGGCCTTAGGGATGCTTGGTAGATTACCCTGTTTCAGTTCAAGTACCGATAGAGTCAAGGTGAGGCTAACGACCGACGAACTTCTCACCGACCGATATCAATCAGCCAGCTTTGTTATATTCAAATATCTTTGTAATTATTAAAATAAACCTCTTAAGGGGACATCCATAATTTTGTAAGATTGAGGTCTATCTTATAAATAGGGGGTCCATATCATGAATAAGGGGTTACACATTCATGTTGTTCTCCACTACCATTTCTCTCTCTGCAAGACTTTTTATACATTAGATATTATATTCAAGAAGAAGTTAAGTGATCTTGTATTTTGGGTTTAGTGTTTAGGCTTTAGAAGGTGTGTTTCCCAGCCAGTCTTGGATCCAACATGGCTTAGTTCGTCGTTGAATGAGATGTTTTAATACACTTGTTCATGAATCTTAAATTAGCCAATTCATACATAAAAAAAAATAGAAAAAAAAACTATAAATTGTGTAACAGCCATATACATTTTTTTAGAATAAATAATGTCAAATTATCCAATAAATTTCTTTATAAAATTTTTGTAAAAAATGTGATATTTAAAAGTAATATATATATATATATATATATATATATATATATATATATATATATACATATATATAGAAATATATATATATACATACATATGTATATATACATACATATGTATATATACATACATATGTATATATACATACATGATCATCTCATTTTTATAATAATTAAAAAATAATTATTCATAAATTTGAAAATTAATTATATTTAATAAATTTAAATAAATACTTATAAATCATATAGTTTACTTACTATAATATGAAACAATAAAAATCATGGCGATAGATGGAGTTGCGTTATTTTTATTTATCAAAATAAAAACCTTTTTTTTTTTTTTGGAAAATTTACATATTTATCACTTAATTGTCATGTATTTACACATCTAACATCTTATATATATCTGAAAATATATGTGACTGTAAATACATAAGAAATTAAGGATTTGGGGTATGTATGTAATTATGTAAATACCTTTCTAACATGCCAATAAATAAATAAATAAATAAATTAAAAAAAAAAAAAAAAAAAGAGGGAAAGAATTCGGGACGAAGGGAAGGACAGAAGGAGAGATAAGAGGAAAGGAGAGTGAAGAAATCAGCTGGGATCAATCAATCCGATCGCCGTCGTGCACCTCTTTCGGCAGGAGAGGATCAACAATGGGCTACTTGCCCTCTTCTCTGCGCAGGAAGGCGGTGAACTTGGTCTCCGACCTCACCACCGTTATCTTCAATCCAATCTCCGACCGATCCTCCGACCCAACAGTCAGCGTTTCTTACTTCCCTTTCATCCCCGTTGTATTCCTTAATTACTAATTTAACTCGTTCGGAAGATATTTTATTTGAGATTGGTTTTCTGTTAATGTTGCGTTTCAACCTCGAGCTGCCTGATAAGATTGTTTCTATTGCAATTAGTCTGTTCAATTTTGGTGTTCTTTCTGTTCTGGCTTTCTTGATCTTGTTTTTTTTTTTTTTTTGTGTAAGCTGGATTGGTTCGTAAGAATTCTAGTTTACGAGGTGTAGTAGGTTGGGGTTTTGTGATAGATTCTCAAGTTCTTGGTTGGACCTTTTTTGTCTGGGGCTGTGATAATCAGTTCACATTGACTTGTACTAATGTGATTTTGAGAATGATGGTGATGTATTTGTGAAAGATTGGGCTTCTTAGCCGTGAGTTGAGGGTTCAGACGGATTTGCGCTTTACTTATTTAGCTTAGTTGCTTCACAAAGATGACGATGCTTTTATGTCAGTCAGTTCTATTAAACAATACATTTTCAAGTTTGGCATTGTAGGATGTTAATTTTCGCGATTATTTTGCTAATGAACTGTAAGTTAAGAACTGATCGGCTGATAAGAAATTGTTTTTAGAAATACATATGCATGTTATGAAGCCTTCTTTCTGAATCAGTACCTTGAAAGAAGGACAGTGTTTCCGTGACATTTTGTGGTTAACGACAACATTGGCTTTTGTTCAGTTTTCTTTTGAAGATTTTTAGATTCAGCGTTTCACAATTTGTGTTACTCAACAATGAATATGGTATAGCTATCAGTGTCTTTTATGAGGGTATTTGTCGTTGGTTCTACTTTCATCTTATACAATTTCGGCAGCCTAACTAAAAATTTCTTCTTTCTAAACCTTATTTATACTTCCTCTATATGAACACGTCTCTAAAATTTTTGCTCTTCCTTGTGATATTTTTTATATGAAATGGGTTCGTCCATTATGTAATTTTGGTCTTGTAATTATAAAATTCATTATTTGTATCAAACCTTCTTGCCCGCGTGGTGAATGGGAAGTTTTAAAAATTTTGCTGAAGATATATTGATGAATCTGAGTTTTGAGCTTTAAAAAACTTGATTTAGGGTGAAAGAAAAATGGATATCTATTCCAGTTAATCTATCTTATTAATCTAATTGAAATTGGTATATTATAAAGCTATACTTGGCCTATACTTGGCCATTTTGCTGCACTTGGCCATTTTGCTGCATTTTTTTTTTTTTGGCTATGGATTTGCCGTAAAGTAAGATGAGAAAACATGTCAGTGGATAACATAAAACCATCTCTTATTTATGTTTTCATGCTAAATCAGTAAATAGATACGTGTGGTCATATGGCATGCAAGTGATTTTGAGTAATGGATGCTTATTGAGGGTGTTGGAGTGCAGTCATTTAGAATAATGGATCTCATGTTCAGAATATTTGTTTTTCCCACCGTCTAATCAAGGAAAATAATAAAAAAATGTTCCATCTATAGAATTCATTCTAATTGGCAGCTTGCAGCATTTCGTATGAAGTGACGAGTAGGTTTATAGCCATCATTAATGAGTCAACTTGAAGTTATCTTTCATTATGGCATATACTAATCAAACTTTTTGTTGTTATAGATTTGTTTAAGTTCTTTCTTCCTCATATCATGAAAAGAATACTATCAAATACAAAAATTAAGTATGAGATAACTTGTGAGATTTATATGTTGCAGAAATTGAGAGGCTCTTTTACACTTAATTTGACATTTGTTTTATTGATATTCAGGAAGAACCAGGGACAAGTTCTGATAAGTCAGATTCAGAAAAGGACTTTGAGCCACCAGAGGGACCTGACACCTCATCTTTTACAGCTTTTCTTGTCTCGCTTCTTTCTTCTACAGATTCTAGTGGCCATGTTGCTGAAGAATCGAAGGAGCAACAAGAAGGAATGGGAGAAACTGAAACAGCTTCGGAATCAGTAATGAAGGAACACAGTGTGAAGAAAGGTCTACTTTCAAGAGGCAAACAGTCTGTTGGAAAAGCTATTCAAAGAATAGCTTTTATTGGTGGATATAGACAAATATCAGAGGCAAAAGCTGACGAAGCTGCAACAAATGATTCAGAACTTGTAGTACAAGAGTTGAAAATATTTTCAGATGACAGGAGATCAAGATTTAAACTACCTGTTATTTCAGAACCATCATCACTTATGTCGGAAGATATGAGAAGATTTCTTTATTTTTCACTGCCTGCAGTGGCTCAAGGGAGGAATTGGTTGTTGCTTTATAGGTGTATATGTATATTAAATTTTGCTATGATATATTGATGTGCCATTCCTGTCTTTACAAATCAAGTTTTAACCAGATTATCTCTGGCATATAGTGATATTGAAGTGTTTCTATTTTTGATGCAGTACTTGGAGGCATGGGATTTCATTATCAACTTTGTACAGAAGAAGCTTGCTTTGCCCTGGTTACTGTCTTCTGGTAAAGATGCCTTTACCTCTTTGTTTTACTTTTTCCTGTTCAATAGATTTGAAGTCACCGATATAGTTAACTGGGTGAGCTCTTCTTTTTTGATGTAAACCTTTGTTTAAGTTATATTATCTTCAAGTTAAGCCATTGAATATTTGTTCTCTTTAACTTGTTAACATCTACAAAAATTTATGGGCGAAAGAGACTATATATATATATATATATATATATATATAATAAAGAAATTAAAGAAATGCTGGATTACACAGATTGTGCCACATTTGAACTTCCAAAATGAAATCTGGTTAAGGTTTCCTACATCATTTGGTAGGTTTCATGACCTAGGTTTTGAGAACTATATTTTCCTAAATGAGGTTGATTGTATGAAAAGTGCTTTTTCTTTTAGATTGAAGACTACATTGTTTATAGTTAGTTTATCTTTGCTGTTTTCTAGGATTTGAAAGTGAAATTTGTGGAATATGTTTAAATGTTAGGGATGTGAGAAATTCTAGCTTAATATTTACTTGTGAAACTACAAAAATCTATAATGGCATAGTCAAACAATGTTCATAGAAATAATTATGATTTAGAATTGGTGGCAAATAATGCCAAAGCTCATAAAATATAGTTTATTATATGATCTATAAAAAAATGAAGAGTTTTAATGTAGTTGAAAACCTTCACTTAAAGAGGTCAATTTTCCAAAGAAACCGTAATTTTCATTTAATGGTACAATTTTGTTCTCACTATAAAATGGTGTCAAAATGACCCACAATTGTTGTTGATTTGTCATTTGGAAATGATTGGTTCTTTCATTCATTTATTTTCTCTTTACTAGTGTAGTGTCAAATAAGTAAGGGTTCTCACATTAAAGACATATTTAGATAAAAAAATTAGTCAATGAAATTAATATTAGGATACGATCTTGGAATATAGGTACTCTCACAGGTAAATTAATGAAATTAGTTATATTATGATTCATAGAAAGATAAGTTTCTTATGTATTCAAGAAATTAAATGGGCTGGAGAAAATGCTAAGGAGATTGATAACTTAGGTTTTAAACTTTGGTATTCAGGTAAGAGGTGCACTAGAAACGGTGTAGACGTAATTGTAGATTATAGTTTGAATGATAATGTTGTAAAAATTAATATAATTAGAGATATAATTTTTAGCTAACTTAGGTTTTAAACTTTGGTATTCAGGTAAGAGGTGCACTAGAAACGGTGTAGACGTAATTGTAGATTATAGTTTGAATGATAATGTTGTAAAAATTAATATAATTAGAGATATAATTTTTAGCCCTTAAGATTATTGTTGATAATAAGATTTTTAATATTATAAGTGTTTATGCTCCTCAAGCAGGTTTAGATATAGGTTCTAAAGAAAATTTTGGAATAACCTAGAAAACTTTATACAAATGATACATATTGAAGAAAAAAATTTTATTGAAGGAGATTTAAATGGACATGTCGATAGAGTGATAGAATATTTTAGAAATATTCATGGTAGCTACGGTTTTGAAGTGATTAATGAAGATGGTAGAACCATAATAGATTTTGATTTAGCATATGATTTTGTTATTGCTCATACTTTTTTCAATAAAAGAGATGAACATATTATTACTTATAAGAATTGATCTAATAAAACACAAATTAATTATTTTTTTATGAGAAGAAAAGATCGTCGAGAATGTAAAGATTGTTAGGTCATTCCAAGTGAGAATTTAAGCACTTAACATCGATTATTAGTTCTGGATTTTAAGATGAAGAGTGGTAAAATAAAGAATACTAAGAATTATTGTCATAGAATTATATGAGAGCACCTAAAACACACAAATAAAAATATTTTTATGAGTAAACTTTAAGATTTCAAGATTTCTGATGTTCATGAAAAATAAGTTCTCAGCGGGATAAAGTAATAAATACTATTAAACAAGTGACAAATGATGTACCTGGAGAATCAAAAGAAAAAAAATTATAAATAAAATAGTTGGCGGGAAAATAATATGTAAGAAAAAGTAAAATATAAGAAGTTATGTTATAAAAAATTGTTTAAATATAAAAACTTAGAGAATGAGAAAAAATATAAAATGATCTATAGGGAGTTTAAGAGAACGATTTGTGAAGCTAAAAATTTTTGTTTTAGTGATCTTTATAATGGATTAGATACTAAAGAGGTGAAAAATATATGTATAAACTAACCAAACAAAGAGAAAAGAGAAGTAAAAAATTTAACTCAAGTAAAATGCATTAGAGATGAAAATCAAAAAATGCATTTCTTAGTAAAAGATATTCAACATAGGTGGACGAGTTATTTTGATAAAATTTTTAATGAAGTTCCTGAAAATACGATCAATTTAAATGAACTTATTATCTTTAATAATAATAAAATATTTTATTTTTACTGTCGTATTAGTAAATAAAGAATTTGATGAGGCTTTAAAGAAAACCAAGGGTGGAAAGATTGTACGACCTAATGATATCCCAATTGAAGTGCGAAAATATTTAGGAGATTTGAGAGTTTCTTGGCTTACTAAACTTTTTAATATTATTTTAAAAACTAAAAAGATGCCCGAGGAGTGAACGAAGTATTTTGGTCCCTATTTTTAAAAATAAAGGGGATGCACAAGAGTGTGCAAATTATAGAAGAATTAAATTAATATTTTATACTTTAAAATTATGGAAGAGGGTAATTAAACATAGGTTAAGAAGTATTACAAAGATTTCTCATAATCAGTTGGGATTTATACCGGACAGACTATGGAAGCTATACGTTTATTGAGAGGTTTGATGGAAAAGTATAAAGAGCATAAGGAGGATCTACATCTGATTTTTATTGATTTAGAAAAAGCTCATGATAAGGTTTCAAGAGATATCCTTTGGAGAGTTCTAGAGAAGAAAGTAGGATTGACCAATAATTTTCCTATTTCAGTTGGGTTACATCAGACATCGACTTGAAGCCTATATCTTTTTGCTTAAGTTATGAATACTCTTACTAGACATTAACAGGAGGATGTACCCTGATGTATGTTTTTCACTAATGATATCATTTTTGTGGATAAGACTAGAGAAAAAGCTAAGGAAAAACTTAAATTATGGAGGTCTACATTGGAGTCTTAAGGCCTTTGTTTAAATAGAACTAAATTGAATACATGGAATGTAATTTTAGTTGTAGTAGTTATAGTGACAGAGTTGTGTAACTATGGGTGATCAAATTATTAAAAGGTACGAATGCTTTAGATATCTCGGGTCTAGGGGGCAAATGAGTCAAGCCAACTCGTGAGCCGGCTCGAGCTCGGCTCGCTAAGTGGCTCGTGAACGGAGCTTGATGTGCTAACAAGCTAAGCTTAAGCCAGCTCGGACTCGACTCGTTCTGGAGCTGGCCTGTTTAAAAAAAAATATTAACATAAAATATATTGAAAATTTATTAAATTTCTAAATTTTATCTTTTAGGTATTGAAAATGTTAAGAAAGTAATATTTTTTATTTATATAAAGTGATTTCTTATTATTTATCTCCTTATTCTTCATTTTATTTGTCAACCTATTATAAAGTTATTTTAAATTAATATAATTTTCTCTCTTTTATATTAAACATGCCGGCTCAAACTCATAGACTTAAGGTCGAGCTCGAGCTCGATAAAATTAATCAAGCTCAAGCTCAAGCTGAGGGTGGCTTGAGCTCGGTTCGACTCGTTTACACCCTACTCGGGTCTATTGTTCAAAGTGATGGTGATATAGATAGGGGTGTTATTAGTAGAATTCAAGTTGATTGGTTGAAGTGGAGGAATGCTTTGGGTCTATTGTGTGATAGAAAATTACTGCTTAGACTGAAAGGAAAATTTTATAAGATGGTGGTGAGACCTGCAATGCTCTATGGCCCACTTATTGGGATGAAGGCTTGTTGTTGTTGTGGTAGTAGTTTGATTTGAACAATGGCTAAAATTCTGGAGTGAGGATGTTTATCTATAATCTTCGATTGAATTCTAATTGTGCATTTTATTAAGAAAAAGACATCTTTTTATACAGCTACCCTACAATTTAAGTATTTGTAAGCTTTGGTTTCAGTCTTTATATCCTATAGAGCTGACGTATTAACTGTTCCACCAAGTATTCAAAGCTTCCTATAGAGCTGACGTATTAACTGTTCCTTAAGTATTTTTAAGTTTTAGTTTGTTTGTTGTGCAGGGCTTGAATAAAATAGAGAAAGAAATTGAAAGAAAAAACATAAAATTAATAACTCATTGGGAGAATTAGGTAAATTGAGTTCTGCTATCATTTTGTTGATTTTTGTAGTTCTTATTATAATTCTTGTACCAGAAATATACCTAAGAAATAATGTTGTACCAAAGAAAGTTCTCATCTGTGGCTTTTTCCAGAAAAAAATCTAAGAGTTATTTCCTTCTAAATGATCCAAATCACAATGAAGGATAATGAAAGTTAGCTAATATCATATTTTTCTTTGATTGCATTGCTTTAACACAAATAAAAACACAGAATATAAATAAATCGCATTAACAACTCATTGGGAGATTTAGGTAACTTGAATTCCTCTATCATTACTTTTTTTCTTATTAGAATTCTTGTACCAGAAATATACCTAAGAAATATTGTTGTACCAAAGAATCTTCTTATCTGTGGCTTTATTCTGAAATGGCGTAAGAGTTATTTCCTTCCAAATGATCCAAATCACAGTGAAGAAGAATGAAAATTTGCCGATATCATATTTCTCTTCGATAACATTTTCTTCTACACATAGAAAAATGGCTGAAGATGCAATTAATGGTATTGTTAATGCCAAATATATTGTATAGTCTATCCCGAATGCTTGAAATGATTGGATAGCTGAAGAAAATGGAATAATAATCTTCAGGGTGAACTTTGCACACTCGCATGTCGCAATAGATTAAACACCATTTTATGAAGAGAGATTTATCTTTTTTTTTGGATATATGATCTAATCCAAACATAAATATTTTATGAGCAATAGATTTTCATATCGAATCCGTGCTGTAAAGATGCTTCTATTGAAGATGAAATTGCAAATTTGATTGAGTAGGCGCCATGTGATCGCAGCCAATGTAGGGCATCATTTGAAGAGTTAGGATCTAAGGATTCGAGCAGCATAGAGATCATTAACACCCTTTATGAGATGCGGTAGGTTATTAATGCACTATTGGATGGGTCAACCCTAATTAGAAATGAATTGAGAGCTTACTAAGAAGTTGGGTTTCTTGGATAGCTTTAAAGATAGGAGAACATATTAACCGATGGAGAATTCAATAGTAGTGTCTTTTCAAATTTTGAGGGAATATCCTTTATTTCTTTCAAGATATATTGACAAAAGTTAGCGGATAGTACTTTCCAAATCGTTTAATGGAGGAGGAATATGGAATATAGAGTTACTCCAAAAATTCATAGGACTACAATATTTTAGATTCTTCCATTGAATGATTTTACTAGCAACAGATCTATTATCCACTTGAATTGATTTTTCGATCCATTTTTCTATGATAATAATATTGAACAAGCTTTCAAGGCAAGCAGGGTCTTTAAGATGATAGATATATTCAATTAATGAGGTCAATCCATTACTCCTGTCACTGCCAGGCTGAAAGAATTACTTTTGATAGAGTTGATTTTTGAAATAACTCACTTAAGAATCCAAAGTTAGGAAAAGTAATAAATTGAATAGAAGGACAAAGTTGATGAGAATATGTCTTTCACCTCCAGTTATACTTTCTTTTCCAACAAGTCATTTTCTATTGAATTTTATTAATGAAATGTGACGGAAGGGCTTTCTGAATAGTTTTAGAGCTAATAAGGATGCCATGATATTTGAAAGCAATTTATTACAATTTACACCCCACTAAATTTGCTTAGGATTAACCCTTATTGCCTTAGTATTTAACTTTTCGAGTTGATGAGAGAGAATTTAGCAAAGTTCACTTTGAGGACTGGAATCTATTTGAAGATTTTCAAGATTTTTTTAAGTTTCATGACTTCATCAAAGGACGCACAACTACAGCAACAACAACACCTAACCTTTATCCCACTAAAGTGGGGTCAGTTACATGAATCCTTTTTCTCCATTGCATCCTATTGAGTGTCATATTTTCATTTAATTCTAATAAATTAAGATCAGCTTTTTATACAATATGCCCAAGTCTTTCTAGGCCTACCTCTATCTTTCTTAAGTCGAATCTAAAACATCTACACTTCTAATCGAATCATCAGCAGTCGACGTTTAATGTGACCAAACCATCTAAGATGACTCTCTCTAATTTTGTCCGCCATTGGAGCTACACCAATCCTATCACAGATTTTTCAAAGAATACACAATTAAAAAAAATAAGTTATCGTGTGAAAATTGAATTCTATTGAGCTTGAGAGAGGGAGGGAGGTTGGGAGGGAGCTTTCCCATTAAAATGATATGAAAATTAGCATGGATGATAGTTTTTATTCACACAATTGTTAAATTGACATCAAGAAATCTCTTTTAGAGGATTTGAAATATGATGACAGTAAAAAAAAAGAAAACTTAATAAAATCTATTTTGAAAATAACCTTTTTCCCTTTTGTTCCTAAGACAAGCAAATTGTTTCATGGGTTGCAAATAAAATCTAGCGTGCCTCTCCTTTCAGTTAAAGAACCTAAGAAATTACCCACTAGAAGAGACATTGAGGGTCCTAAGAATGTTTGGAGAGGACTTTAGTGAGGATTTTGAAGTCTACATTTAAAAAAATTGATATGTAAAAAATCTTTAAGATGATCAAATATGCCCTTAGGAATAAGACCGTTGAAATTTGAGCTATGACCGTTGAAATTTGAGCTATGACTTTTGAGAGAAGCTTCTATGATTGTCATAAATATTTTTGAACATAAGAGATATGCTAAGATGAATAGAATCCCACATGACTTGAAAGAATTTTAATGTAAAGCTATTTGGACTAGGAGATTTACTTGCTTTGAAGAAAAGACAACTTAAATCCCTTAATAACTAAAGGATAGCCCATACTACATAGATTACCCAAGTGCTCATTCGATTAAAGTTTATAAAACTTGATGTCAAAATTCGATAGATGATGTTGTTGAATAAACTCTTCTAGACGTTAAAATCTTCCAAAACATATTTTTGAGTAAGAGGACAAATCATTCCCATTCTTAACTTGATGGATGTAATACAAAGTTTTTCGAGTTGGTTGTTTTGTGTTGACATTCCTACTTTGGTTTTGCATCTAGCTTCATTTATATGAACTACTTTATTTCTATGATTTCTGTAATACTTCTTTCTCATGGTTTGATTTCAGTAGGAGCTCAAAGTTTTTCACTAGAAATTAAATTTGGGTTTCTCCTCTATTGATTATCTTTAGTTGTAATTATTTATAAGATGGTTAAATCATGCGGGGTCCTTGTTAATAGGGGATTTGAAAAAGTTTTTAACAAATGCCTTCACTATAGTAGTAACAAAGCTTTTTAAATTTTGATTTCACTTTTACATTTGAGCCAAGCGATCTAATGTTGCTAAGATGCTCATATTGGTGGCTTGGCACTTCTGTCCTTATAAACATTAACTGCATAGGTGTAATTAACGTGATCCCATAATGAAGAATGATGAAGTATTTGGAAGGTACAACAAATTTCATAGAAATACACTAATTGAGATGTATTTTCTTATGCTTTTCCTCTCTTTTGATGATGGCCATAATTATACATTAAAATATCAATTTCAGGAATTGATGAGTTTTTAGGTCCTCGTGTTTTGAAAGTTTCTCAAAGCAGTACTTGTGTTTTGCTTCACTTTGCAAAGAAATTGTCAAGGCTTTGTTTGGTTTGAAGGACTTGAAAGAAAGAAATGCAGGATAAATGGAAATGTAAAGGGTAAAGGAATTGAATTAAAAGTAATTTTCACCCAATTTTTGGTTGAGAAGAAATTTTGTGCAAAAAAGAAATCTTCGTTTGGTTGACAAGAAATTGAGTTTTATTTTATTTTATTATTTATTATTATTATTTATTATTTATTATTATTATTTTTGCTTGTGAAAGACAGGGCATGTTAATCGTCATTATGGCTTGATAAATTTTTCTTTCGGTTCATCACTAAGTTTAGTTATGGAATCTTCGATGCAAAAATATATTTGTTTACATTTTTACATTTCCTTGGTAAACTCAATTACTTATTAATTCTCATTGGAACTGGACACCGAATATGAAATTGTGAAGAAAATGTTTTGCATTCCCTCCACTTTCTTCAGAATAAACATATGCAAAGGCTCTATTTGTTTTGAAGGAGTTGAAAGAGAAGAAATGAAAATGTCGATTGAAATGAAATGAGCTTTCACCCATTCATATTTCCTGCCAAATAGGCAAATACTTAGTAAAAATATTATTTTTTATTGTTCGGCTGATCAGAAAATATTATCTTTTATTATGACAAGACCACATGTGAGTTCTAAAGATATGTGCTAAAACTTTCTTCTCAATTTTGACTCATCAAGGAGTTGTTATTGAAAAAATGTATTTGTTCTTATTTTTTAAGTAAATCTAATTAACCGTTCATTATATTGAAACTAAACACCAATATGAAATTGTGAAGCATGAATTATTTGCATCCCTTCTGAATGCTTCAAAACATTCATAACCTAAAAGTTAGGGGCATTTACATACCAACCACACAATTCCTATGTATTAACATATCTATGTTTATACCACCAAATCTTTCATATCCCATCAAAGTTTCACTATTTTAACTTTTAAGAAATTAAATACATGTTTTCATGTATAGGTAGGGCGGCATATATGTAAAAATTGAAATTTTGGTGTTAGATGATATGCAGATATGCAAATACATCAGAATTGAGTGGTATGTATATAAATCTTCCTCAAAGTTACCATTACAAATTAGGCCCAGCAGGCCTCTCCGAGCATCAATGCATCCTTGGGAGGATCACCCATGCCACCATGCTTCTCTATTTCAATAAACTTCTAGGAGATTTTGGTGTCAAAGCACACCTTCATTCCCAGCATGCCTCATGAACTGTCATAGATGCCTCGTCAGTAGTAATGGCAAAACCACCGCCTATGCAGCAACAAGAAATTAAGCAAATGTCGGTGGTGTTTTTATATAATTGAACAGTCTGATCCAGTGTTTTTGAATCTTTTCATCCCAAATATCTGTTGGGCTCTAATATTTAGTGATTTTTTTTTTTGTGCTTAACCTATATTGAGAAAGTCGCTTTATTTGCATAGAATTGAGATTTGTGATTTTGCATATTGATTTATTAAAATGTTATTTTAGGATATTCTATTATAGGATTTTAATCTTGTTCTTATGATCAATCTAGGTTACATGAATAAGCTTAATCAATCTTGATTGATGCTATTAATTTATTCATGGGCTCCTCTCAGGTTGTTGGGGATCAGAAAGGTGCTGTTTTCGGTGGTTTAGCTGAGGCACCATTTCGACCATCTAATAAGAAATACCAGGTGGCTGACACATTATATTTATTTATTAAGCATACCTGTTAATGGATGTTTTTTTTTCCTGGGAAATTTACATATTAACCACACAATTCTTATGTATTTACATATCTAACCGCCAAATTTTATATTTACACTCATAAAAGTTTGGTGTTATACATCTGGGCATTAAATGATGTATTTCATTTTTAAAAAGATGGTGATGGTGATATTTTTTATGTGATGTTAAGGATTTGAGTGGTATGCATATATATATATA